TTTTTGCAATTTTCAGGAATTTTTGCGATTTTTGCAATTTCCAGGAATTTTTGTGATTTTTGCAATTTTCAGGCATTTTTGTGATTTTTGCAATTTTCAGGCATTTTTGCGATTTTTGCAATTTTCAGGAATTTTTGCGATTTTTGCAATTTTCAGGAATTTTTGCGATTTTTGCAATTTTCAGGAATTTTTGTGATTTTTGCAATTTTCAGGAATTTTTGTGATTCTTGCAACTTTCAGGAATTTTTGTGATTTTTGCAATTTTCAGGAATTTTTGTGATTTTTGCAATTTTCAGGAATTTTTGCGATTTTTGCAATTTTCAGGCATTTTTGCGATTTTCGCAATTTTCAGGAATTTTTGCGATTTTTGCAATTTTCAGGAATTTTTGTGATTTTTGCAATTTTCAGGCATTTTTGTGATTTTTGCAATTTTCAGGAATTTTTGTGATTCTTGCAATTTTCAGGAATTTTTGTGATTTCTGCAAATTTCAGGAATTTTTGCGATTTTTGCAATTTTCAGGCATTTTTGCGATTTTCGCAATTTTCAGGAATTTTTGCGATTTTTGCAATTTTCAGGCATTTTTGTGATTTTTGCAATTTTCAGGAATTTTTGTGATTTTTGCAATTTTCAGGAATTTTTGTGATTTTTGCAATTTTCAGGAATTTTTGTGATTTTTGCAATTTTCAGGAATTTTTGCGATTTTTGCGATTTTCAGGCATTTTTGTGATTTTTGAAATTTTTGCGATTTTTGCAATTTTCAGGAATTTTTGTGATTTTTGCAATTTTCAGGAATTTTTGCGATTTTTGCAATTTTCAGGAATTTTTGCGATTTTTGCAATTTTCAGGAATTTTTGCGATTTTTGCAATTTTCAGGAATTTTTGTGATTTTTGCAATTTTCAGGCATTTTTGCGATTTTTGCAATTTTCAGGAATTTTTGTGATTTTTGCAATTTTCAGGCATTTTTGCGATTTTTGCAATTTTCAGGAATTTTTGTGATTTTTGCAATTTTCAGGAATTTTTGCGATTTTTGCAATTTTCAGGAATTTTTGTGATTTTTGCAATTTTCAGGCATTTTTGTGATTTTTGCAATTTTCAGGCATTTTTGCGATTTTTGCAATTTTCAGGAATTTTTGCGATTTTAGCAATTTTCAGGAATTTTTGCGATTTTTGCAATTTTCAGGCATTTTTGCGATTTTTGCAATTTTCAGGAATTTTTGTGATTTTTGCAATTTTCAGGCATTTTTGCGATTTTTGCAATTTTCAGGAATTTTTGCGATTTTTGCAATTTTCAGGAATTTTTGTGATTTTTGCAATTTTCAGGAATTTTTGCGATTTTTGCAATTTTCAGGAATTTTTGTGATTTTTGCAATTTTCAGGCATTTTTGTGATTTTTGCAATTTTCAGGCATTTTTGCGATTTTTGCAATTTTCAGGAATTTTTGCGATTTTAGCAATTTTCAGGAATTTTTGCGATTTTTGCAATTTTTAGGAATTTTTGTGATTTTTGCAATTTTCAGGAATTTTTGTGATTTTTGCAATTTTCAGGAATTTTTGTGATTTTTGCAATTTTTGCGATTTTTGCAATTTTCAGGCATTTTCGTGATTTTTGCAATTTTCAGGCATTTTTGCGATTTTTGCAATTTTCAGGAATTTTTGTGTTTTTTGCAATTTTCAGGAATTTTTGCGATTTTTGCAATTTTCAGGAATTTTTGTGATTTTTGCAATTTTCAGGCATTTTTGCGATTTTTGCAATTTTCAGGAATTTATGTGATTTTTGCAATTTTCAGGCATTTTTGCGATTTTTGCAATTTTCAGGAATTTTTGTGATTTTTGCAATTTTCAGGAATTTTTGCGATTTTTGCAATTTTCAGGAATTTTTGTGATTTTTGCAATTTTCAGGCATTTTTGTGATTTTTGCAATTTTCAGGCATTTTTGCGATTTTTGCAATTTTCAGGAATTTTTGCGATTTTAGCAATTTTCAGGAATTTTTGCGATTTTTGCAATTTTTAGGCATTTTTGCGATTTTTGCAATTTTCAGGAATTTTTGTGATTTTTGCAATTTTCAGGCATTTTTGCGATTTTTGCAATTTTCAGGAATTTTTGCGATTTTTGCAATTTTCAGGAATTTTTGTGATTTTTGCAATTTTCAGGAATTTTTGCGATTTTTGCAATTTTCAGGAATTTTTGTGATTTTTGCAATTTTCAGGCATTTTTGTGATTTTTGCAATTTTCAGGCATTTTTGCGATTTTTGCAATTTTCAGGAATTTTTGCGATTTTAGCAATTTTCAGGAATTTTTGCGATTTTTGCAATTTTCAGGAATTTTTGTGATTTTTGCAATTTTCAGGAATTTTTGTGATTTTTGCAATTTTCAGGAATTTTTGTGATTTTTGCAATTTTCAGGAATTTTTGCGATTTTTGCAATTTTCAGGCATTTTTGCGATTTTCGCAATTTTCAGGAATTTTTGCGATTTTTGCAATTTTCAGGCATTTTTGTGATTTTTGCAATTTTCAGGAATTTTTGCGATTTTTGCGATTTTCAGGAATTTTTGCAATTTTTGCAATTTTCAGGCATTTTTGTGATTTTTGCAATTTTCAGGAATTTTTGCGATTTTTGCAATTTTCAGGCATTTTTGTGATTTTTGCAATTTTCAGGCATTTTTGCGATTTTTGCAATTTTCAGGCATTTTTGTGATTTTTGCAATTTTCAGGAATTTTTGCGATTTTTGCAATTTTCAGGAATTTTTGCGATTTTAGCAATTTTCAGGAATTTTTGCGATTTTTGCAATTTTCAGGAATTTTTGTGATTTTTGCAATTTTCAGGCATTTTTGTGATTTTTGCAATTTTCAGGCATTTTTGCGATTTTTGCAATTTTCAGGAATTTTTGCGATTTTTGCAATTTTCAGGAATTTTTGCGATTTTTGCAATTTTCAGGAATTTTTGCGATTTTTGCAATTCTCAGGAATTTTTGTGATTTTGGCAATTTTCAGGAATTTTTGTGATTTTGGCAATTTTCAGGAATTTTTGTGATTTTTGCTATTCTCAGGAATTTTTGCGATTTTTGCAATTTTCAGGCATTTTTGTGATTTTTGCAATTTTCAGGAATTTTTGCGATTTTTGCAATTTTCAGGAATTTTTGCGATTTTTGCAATTTTCAGGCATTTTTGTGATTTTGCAATTTTCAGGAATTTTTGTGTTTTTTGCAATTCTCAGGAATTTTGCGATTATTGCAATTTTCAGGAATTTTTGTGATTTTTGCAATTTTCAGGCATTTTTGTGATTTTTGCAATTTTCAGGAATTTTTATGATTTTTGCAATTTTCAGGCATTTTTGTGATTTTTGCAATTTTCAGGCATTTTTGCGATTTTTGCAATTTTCAGGAATTTTTGCGATTTTTGCAATTTTCAGGAATTTTTGCGATTTTTGCAATTTTCAGGAATTTTTGTGATTTTTGCAATTTTCAGGAATTTTTGCGATTTTTGCAATTTTCAGGAATTTTTGCGATTTTTGCAATTTTCAGGAATTTTTGCGATTTTTGCAATTCTCAGGAATTTTTGTGATTTTGGCAATTTTCAGGAATTTTTGTGATTCTGGCAATTTTCAGGAATTTTTGTGATTTTTGCTATTTTCAGGAATTTTTGCGATTTTTGCAATTTTCAGGCATTTTTGTGATTTTTGCAATTTTCAGGCATTTTTGCGATTTTTGCAATTTTCAGGAATTTTTGCGATTTTTTGCAATTTCAGGCATTTTTTGTGATTTTGCAATTTTCAGGAATTTTTGTGATTTTTGCAATTTTCAGGAATTTTGCGATTTTTGCAATTTTCAGGAATTTTTGTGATTTTTGCAATTTTCAGGCATTTTTGTGATTTTTGCAATTTTCAGGAATTTTTGCGATTTTTGCAATTTTCAGGAATTTTTGCGATTTTTGCAATTTTCAGGAATTTTTGTGATTTTTGCAATTTTCAGGAATTTTCGCGATTTTTGCAATTTTCAGGAATTTTTGTGATTTTTGCAATTTTCAGGAATTTTTGTGATTTTTGCAATTTTTATTTGGCCTATTGAAAATCTGAAAAAATTCACATAGACATAGACATAGAATCTGTGGTGAAAATCGGGAAATTTCAGAAAATGGAGACGTAGCAGCCTACCGGAGTGCTCCTATTGGCAATTAAAGCGGAAAGCTGACTTTCAGCGTCGATATCTCGAAAACTATCTGTTTCATCGGGCTGATCATGGTCTCAATCGATTCAGCGTGTCATTTTCTATAGGGAAAGCGATAACTCGCGTGGAAATTTAGTTCTGATTGAATCGTGTTGTTGTCTTGTTTCATTGTTTTGTGTTCTCTATGTGAATGTGCTGAATTTGAGTATCTATTCCCGAATCATATAATATCGTGATTATATGTATATAATTGATTCTATCTTATAGTACGTGTTCAAGTCGATGAATGTCTCTACGGCACAGAAAAATGTTCAATCAGACTACCAGCTAGTGATCACATTTAGACGATCGAAGCAGGCTGGCATTCGTCTCGAATATTATACACAAGCGTCTAGCTAGACCAGGAAATCTTTGAATCCTCAAGGTTATCAGGACGACACGAGTCACCGTGTTTATAAGACTTATAAGGTAACATGATGAAAGAAAATATCTCCACGGCATGAAAAAGGAAAGTACTTTCTCTTGCTTTTTGCTGAAAATTATATTTTTGAAAAAATTGCTTGGGTGAAAAAAAAAAAAATTTTTCCTCGCAGGGATTGACCCTAGTCTCCACCGTGGGAGTAACATACACCGACCACTGAGGTATTGCTCTACTCGTAGTAGTCTTAGTTTCCCAATATAAAGAAGAAAGAAATATCATGTATTGTGGGTGACGTCACTTGACCTCGATGTTTCAAAGATTCGCTGGTCTAGCTAGACGCTTCTCCATTATACCGAACTACAATGATTGGTTCTTGTGTTTACTGACCTTGGAATTCTTTCCTGGCCGCCGACACCGAAGTAACGATATTCGCCACGTGGCCGAGCACGGTCGCGAACAGTAGCAACCCGAACAGTAACTGAAATATTACGAACATGTACTCGCCCTTGTTTCGCGGCCTCGGCAAATCGCCGATCGTCGTCAGCGCGAGCGTGCACCAATAGTAACTTTGCAAGTATGCTTTCACGTAATCTGTACTTTCCGAATCACTGTACACCCAGTTCTTGCTGCCGAAGCCGTCGTTCTTGAGGATGATGTGGAAGAGGCAGCCGTTCCAATGGAAGATGACGAGCAGGTAGTGGATGAGGCTGCTGGAGCGGAAGAGGTTCGGGTAGTTCGTGTGGCGCTCGGTACGGTCCATGAACGCCCAGAAGCGGTAGATTTTCACCAGACGAAAGGATCTATGGGAAAAAAGTATCAGTAGATGTGCTAGGGAGTTTCTGGAACGAAGAGTATACGAATAACATTAGATACTGAGTAGGTGGTTCTAACCAAGTAATCTGAGATCAGTAGATGATACCGAGGGATCCTGGCACAATAATTCAAAAAGAAAACGATATTCTGAACTATCAAATCTTTGAAAATTACCAGTAGATGAGCTGAGAGAGTTCTGCAAGAAAGATTTATTAAACATAATTATAGAATCAGTGGTTAGTATTGGGGGTTCTGTATCAAAAAAATTATCAGATACATCAGTAGTTTGAGAAGGTACTTAACATACTAATTCTACAAAAAATAGGAGTAGATCAGATAGGAGGTGCTGGATAACTATTATATCTTGAAAAAATATTAGTACCACTTAGCAAAAGCTTGGAGGCTTGTATTCTGCTTATTCCAAATATAGTTCCTGATCAGAAGATAAGCTAGGAGGTTTCTAGACCAGAATTCCTCATACCGGTGAACACGATACATCTTTGAAATAGTCATAATAAAGTGCAATTGATACACACTACAATTGATATAGGCTAGTTTATATAGAATGCCGATTATGATTCCTGAGCTCTCAAACCAACAAAAAGAAATATTGTTGGTACTGCTTCCACCAGAATAAACCTTCATAGGAAAATGCATGAAATTCCAGATCAGAACCTTCCTAGCTCATCTACTTACATCTTCAAAAGCTAATTTTTTCATCAGTAATCGTTGACAATCGATAATAGTTTCTTTTGACGTGTGAAAATTGTTGAAAGATAATCAACAGAAACATCTTCCCTTCATATTCCAAACATCTGTCGATATCTTTTGAAATAACACCCTGAGAAACCAACGATCGTTAGAGTGGAGAGGTCAGCCTATTGGCATGATAATGTGTAATGAACATCAGATTTGACTTCCTGCAGGCCTTTTCTTTCGCAATATCATGAGGTTTGAGGTTTATTCGACTGACCTGAGTATGGAATTGAACCCGATCGAAAGATACAGAAAATCTAACGGCAGCAGGCATAGGCAGTCTATGTAGAAGGTAGTGGAGTTCATGTAGTGGTGCCTCAACTTGGTGGAGTCCGTTTGCAGAACTCCGTCTTCCAGATACCCGGTGCGGAAATGGAACATGATGTCTACGAGGTAGAGGAAGTCGGCGAAGTAGTCCAAACAAAACCACACCAAGATCGTGTTACCTGGAAAACGACCACGTTGACACCTTGGATACCTTGGATTATTTTCTTCGTATGATTTAAAACCAGTCAGAACTTTCAATCGAGTGAAGCTTCATCATGATTTGGATTAAAAATTGATCCCTTCTCGACATATTGGATTTTGATTCATTCTTTTTAAGAGAAGATACGAGTGTTTTAGAAAAGTATGGATATTTTGAATCTGCAGAACCCATATGAACGTATCGATTAACAACTTGAAACAACATATTGAACTTGATATAACTTCTTTCCAACTCGTTTTTTGAGCATTCGCCAGCTAAGAAAAATCTCAATTACCAAAAGCAAACGGAAAGCAGACCTTCTAGATGTAGTCAATAACGAGTATGTCCTCAAGTGAGCACTTCGAATTAAAAAAATTACAGGGCGATCAATTTGACAAAATTTTTCGCGGGTCGGTTTTTTTGCCAGTGAGTTTATTGCATGTTCGAGTTGGAGAATAATATGATATCTTATGGTTCGTGTCTTAACTGTTCACTTACCGTCGATCTCTCGGAATGCGAACCTATAGATGATGACCCAGAAGTTGTAGAGGAACGCTAGAGAAACCACCATGGACCAGTAGTAGCAAAGCCGTCCCGCCGGGTCGAACACAAAAGACCAATTTTGGGAGCCTACTCGTAGTCTCGAGCTGTAAGGGTCGGCTCGTCTGAAACCGTATCGACTGAAAAACGAATGATTATCATGGAAAGGTATGATTCCAGGTAGTAAATTTTTGAGCGATAATAAATGTTTTTCTTTTTTTTTCTATTGCATTATCTTGTCGCCCCATAAGTCGAAACTAGTGTGGAGTTAGGTAAGCATACAAACACAAATATCCATATCTCGGTGTGAACTCAGCGTCTTTGCGCCTAGGACGACCAGTTGATATGAATAAGTACAATGAGCTCAATCGTTCGAAGGAAAGGGTGGAAGGAGTTGCGAGAAGAAGATAATTGGAAACCAGAACATTTTTGATTGTTTATAGTCTTGGCCCTCTAAAAATGCTTCAGCACATTTGCAACTCTAGTTCCCAGAACCTGTTATCTAGAATTTGAACAGTTTCAGGATCTGAAAAGGAATATTATAGATCATTGAACTATCTGGTTTCCCGATATCGGTTGTTGATATGTCGATAATATATCTACATAAAACATTCGGAGATGATTTAGAATGACAATAGAAACGGTTCCATGAACTACAAAGTCGAATATATTATAATTTACTCTGATAAAATCAAAATGGTAGAGACATATTTCGTAGTTTTGGAACTGCATCAACAAAAATCCTACATATGAAGTGAAAAATGTATATTTTGACAGAGAATATGAAGTAATACATCCAACCTTTTTGGTTGAAAAATTGTCAATTGATTAGAAGTAAAGGATTCTTCTATATGAAATTCACCAAAATGAAATTGGGGATTCAAGTGGAGTGAACCAAAGTTCGAAAAAGAATTAGAATTCGGACTAGAATGATGAAAGATGAAAATGATGGTGAAGCTGTTCATCAAATGAATTTCGAAGATCACTGACATTAGTTTGGAACAGGAATGTAGGAGTATGTATCTTATCGATGATATCATATATGAAGATTGTTCTAAAAAAATTTTTCTAAAATTGAATATGAAGATGGAATTAGAATTGAAATTGATGCTACGTAGATTTTCAGAAATTTTGGTAATTTGAAGAATTGTCGATATGGTACCCATCAAGTTTCTATATTGAAGAAGTTTCGAGTTCTGTTTGAGGAAACATTCAGAAATAGAACAATCATTGTTGTGAACTATCTCTCTGATAGTTGATAGTAGAAATTTTCTTCACTAAGAGTGCCTTTTTATATGATAATGAGATCTCATATAATCAATATTTGAAAGTGAGAGCTATTTGAAAGCCCCGTCAGTTTGGGGGATGTACAGTCTCTAGAGAGGGGGCATTGAGATGGCGAAGTTTGTAATAAAAGGCTCGTTTAACAAATTTTTCCCGGCGAACAATAGCTAATTTCGCATTATGTGTGAGCCCATTCAGGTCGAGAATTTCGGCTTGCCTAATCATATACTCCCGCAAAGTTTTCATTAACTACGGACGTGGTGAGTTCTAGATGGAGTTTACTCTGAGCCATCTGAAGTATATGGAGATTGATCACGGTGATGTTGAGATCGTGTTCCTTAGATGAATCTCGAGTTTTTAGATACCTAATAATAGTTTCTTGTGACGCAGTATTCCTTTATTCATGTCGAGCAAAAGTATAATTTAATTCTACGAATCTTGTTAATTTCATCATCACATCTGATGTATTTTTCATTGCCGAACTCATAATTACGAAGAGTGAGACCTTTGAAAACTGAAGTAAGTGTAATAAATGCATCAAAACAAAAGAATTGAATTTCGTGAGAATATATCTCTGAATTTGTGTAAATTTGCTTCAGTATGCAGATGTTTTGGACAATATATCAAGCAGTGAACATACCTAGAGTACTTGAATATCTTATTTACGTCCTTCATTTCCCGAACAACAGTATGTTTACAAACGAGCACAGTATCATCCGAAAGGTAAACTGAAATCCAGTCCATTGTGTTGCTGAAAACACGATTTCATTTTGCATACGAATTTCCACTTATGGAATTAGGGTGATAGTATTCCAGGTTAATATTTTCTTGTACAGGTTTAATGAGTTCATTCTTCGCCGTGAGAGTTGAAAATGTGTGGCACATATCGGACGGACAGCTTTTGAAAAATGGAATACAAAATATATAGCCCTGCGTTTAAAGAATGTATGATGCAATCGAATATTGATGACAATGTGAAATTATGTGTGAAATATTCTTTCAAAGTACATATAATTACAAAAATTTCAGGTTTCTACAAATATTTACCCGTTTGAAATTGCTAATTGCTCTACTTTCTGAAGGGCATTTTCAAAATTATCAATTTCATTACCATTTCACTGACTATATATCTCACGGGATTTCAATAGTGGGGAGCAGATGTATTATCTCAAAATGAAATCTACATATTGTGCGGATTTACACATGGTTTTTGAATTTGTGTATCGAGACTGATTTTTTTTGTGAACCGCGAACAAATGCCATCGATTGGTGTGGACGAGAGTATGGCGTATCGTTTTGATGGTTCATATCCATTTCGATCATAACTTTCATTTAGCGTTCAAATGAACCGCAAGAATGGGAAAATTAAAGTTTGGATATTGGTTCGATTCGATATGCTTTAATCTATAAATAATAGAGTTGTTTTCAATAATCGAACTTCCACATTGGACATATTTCGAAATAATCCTTTTATTTATGTTTGATCAAACATTGATAGAAATTCATGTGACATTCCATTTTCGACCATTGGTCTACATATTATTTACTAATTGAATTCGAATGATAGGTAGCCAATCTGATTTTACCATCGACTATTTCGTGCTCTTAATAACGGTGAATAATAGTCAGGATGAGAAGAACGTAAGAAGAACGTGGAAGAACCTAACCTTATTCTGAAGATAGAAATATTGCACATAGTGCTTCATTCTCTTACACTCAGTCGCATTGCCTATATGATAAACATTTGGGGATCTGGTTCAAAAAAATATTCCAGTAAAATATATTCTGCACTTTATAAGAAATCTCTGAGAGTATTGTATCGCCTTTCATTTGATATCCCAACAAATGAACTGTATGCGATAACAGAAACATATTCATTTGATGAATTGTATAAAATAGATACTCTGGAATATAATATCATGAACAAGAATTTTAAATCCAATTTTGTTCTGATGAGAAACTCAGAAATTCATAGTCATCACACGAGACAATTGAACTTATTTCATCTTGATTCTGCTACTTCTTTACTTGGCTAAAAAAAGATTTACCCACGCTGCTTTAACTGAATTCAATAAATTACGACATAATATGAGGAATTGCAGACATATTTCAAAATTCAAAATTGCATTAAATACACATGATATCATTGCGAAATAGATAAAATTGTTACTTTGCCATCTACTGATTGATCCCTGTTGCTATTTTATTTAGCATTTGTCGTTTCTTCGATTTTTTTTGTTGTTGTCACCCTATGTTATTTCACTATTATTGTTTGTGATCAACTCCCTACCAGAATTCAATTTCTCACTAGAAGCTATTTTATTTATAAATTTTTCAACACAAAAATCGTTATTTGTTTTACTAGGTGGGAAAGTAGTTCAGCCAAGGCAGTCAATCTTCATTTACTGCCGTGTGAAATATATAATCTTTTCTGCAAATGTTATAAAACCAATTTTGTGTAATTTTTTCATTGAAAACTCCATCATTTTGTGTTCAATCAATGTCAGTGTCAATTTTGATTACCAATTACAAATTTCATTCAAATTTCTTGGAACGTTGCATAGCAACATCCTTTTCCTGCCTAGGCAGAGAAAGTACCTTTCATGCCTGTCAAGTGTCAGAGACAATGAGTTTCAAATTCATATTTTGTGTGAGCTTCCATAAATCTGACATAGAGAATGGGTAGGTTGGATGAAGCATATATCTAAAGAACCTATGGCTGAAATGATCAATCTTTACAGGCCCGTACGGAAATAAAACTCAATTGAAACTTGTTTTCCTCGATGCGGTTGACTTTAAGGTCCTCCTGATGTCTTGTAAATATACATCATAATGCGCCAACGATAACTCATTCACAACCTTGCGTCGTTCTTTTTATTTCGGTCCTCCAGCCAGGCGGATTTTCTCCGTTTTCCATCGCAATGCGGAGAAATTTCCCTCTAGGAAACTCCAAAAACGACACCGACTATATAAAGACACGCCAATCGCGAATACGTGCGATAGTCGAAAACGCAATTGCGTGGATGCAGATTAAATCTACGGGGCTGTCCATAAATTACCGTACCCTAATTCTCGTTTTCGACTTTATCTACTCTGCACACTCACTGATAAATCATTGTTGAACTCCTCTCCCTGATATCAAGTTGCAGTTGTGCGGCCCCCTCCTCCTGAATTTTCATTGAAACTTGAATAATTCAATCCATCTCATAAGATATACAAAAATCATGGAAGTTTATAATGAAATCCACTAGAACATATTGTTTGAGAATGTGGGCCAGGAATTTTTATCAGAGTTATGATTTTTCGGAATAGTCACCTCGATCAAGTGAATGACTTTTGCTTTTGCTTTTGAATGGCCGTGATCACTGGTGCAGCATTCACTGCTCAACAAAATCAACTTTCAACCAAATATCAATAAAATATACTCACAAAATCTATTGCTAAAAATAATAGTATCAAAATGAATACCAGCTTAATCTTTCATCGTTTGTCGAATAATACTTTATGAATTGATTGAATCATTTTTATAACATTGAAAAAAAGTATGTTCAGTACTCCCAAGAAGTATAGTATCTTTTTTGTGTCTGGAATGAAGGAAATATAGTTTTGATCTGAAATTAGTAGAGCATAAGTACCTCCAGCGGAAAACCTGAAATTCAAATATTTCTCTCACAATCTTGAACGATTTTGATAATTATCGCAGCAGTTCATATAGCATTTTCATTGAATGCAAACTGGTTTCTGATACATTACATATCAAGTAAGTTTTCTTAAGAACTTCACATCCGGTCGTACATAAAATAGAATATGGCAACCAGTCTCCTCACCTTTCGGTACCGTTGCAGCTGCTGTTGCTGTTGAGATGGTTGGAGGAGGGGGGATTAGTGCCCGCCGTCGATCCCGGAGCCGTTCTCCACGCACCCAAGAGCGGCGCCTCTCCGGAGCTGGCTATCTGCACGCTCGTTGGAAGTTTGAGTCTGTTGCGCAGGTCTTTCCTACGCGCTTTTCTCGACAGGTCCAATTCGCTGGCGGCGCTACTCACGTTGGCCGCCCTGTAAAAACAATGAAAATTCACGAGTGGATATGTTTCTCGAGTCAGGATACTGATTATCTTCGCGTCTGGCCTATGTATGGAGGTCCTGCCGTCTTCCTCGACAGGTCGAGTTTGCTGGCTACGCTTCTGTGTAAAAACATCGATAATGAAATTTGCGAATGGAAATATGTTCCTTGAGTCTGAGTATTCAGTAGCTTCGCGTTTGGCCGATGTATGCAAGTATTTTCTTTGCGCCTTTCTCGATGGACTAACTTCATAAGCTCTTACTCCTTGGGTCTATTTGCTGATTCGCTTCGCATTACGGGGTGACAAATTGAAAAAACGAGCAGCACTCATGAGTTGAAATATACAAAAAATCCTGAAGATTGAGATGTTCCTCAACATACTTTCGCTGCCCTTTACGTTCTATGTTTTATATGTGCATCAGGTTGCGTTCATTGAACTCCATTATTCAATAAAAGGTTATAGGAATTGTTCTTTCAGTCTAGTTATTGGTTGAATTCTCATTCATCTTATGTTATACGTGTTGAAAGTTGAGTTCGTCTGGAGAATGAATTTCATCAGTTGAAATATAGAATCTTGAAAATTAGAGATTTTCGTTTGAAACTCTTGCTTACCGGTTGATGTAGGCTATGCTATCTCGTGATGTGGAGTAGTACCCTACTTCAGGGGGTTGGTACGACTGGTGCGATTGGTGGTGATGATGGTGAAGGTGGCGGGGCTGCTTTGACATACCTAGTTTGCAGCCCACCAAGTCTGGAAATGTCGATTTACATGGAGTTAATAATTTGTGTTTTCAGAGAATTCATTTCGGAGTGAGGAAAATCTTGTTTAGTGGTTCGAGGCACGTTCCGCATTTATCTCTATGAAAATTCAATCCACTTTACGAAAACATTTCATGTTATTTGTTGGGGGAAAGTTATGATCCAATTTGTTTGGGTTTATTGCACGAGATAGAGATGGTATGGAATGACAAGAGTAATGTAGTGAAGTTTTGTCGAAACAACCACGAAAACATACTGGATAATAATTGTGGAATGATATTCAATCAATTCGAATTCACTTCTCATAAAGGTTTCTTGTTTATTTCTCAGTTATCTCCGCAGAAAACCGATGGTAATGTACTGAGTTGCAAAAAATCAGCTGTTTTTTTGTTTGGATGATTGAAAATGCTTCATTATGCTTTATTAATTATTTATTCGGCTCTACAACAACAACGGCAGGTGTACTACCTAATCAGTAATATTTGAATTATATTCTGGAGGAATGTGCTTTTTTGTGCTCATATAACTGGAGTGGCATTCAGCGTATGGATATGTACAGTCGTCTTCAGAGAACATGTCGCACATGGACGGTGTCAGCTCTCCCAATCACCGCTGCAATAAGAGCGCTCATATCGTCCAACCGCAACAGGTTCACTGAAGACGAGTGTACCATGCTAAATGATCGATTAATCTCAGATTGACAACTTCAATTTATTCAAAAAATTAAGCACATTACTATTGCAACAGATTTTTTAAATAAAATTTCAGCCGTTTGAGTCCTGCCCTGTCCTGCCTGTCAATTGTATGAACTGTCAACTGTCATTTTCGAATTTTGTTTCAATCAACAATTCAAACAACTTCTGTTTGTATCAGAATGTTTCATCGGAAACGTATGCAGACGAAAGTGAAAGTCAAAGTGAAAATACATTCATACCACTTGTTACATAATATACTATTATGTTCTGCTAGATCAGGTTTCCAAAAATATCATAACTTCAGATCAGATGGATGAATATTCGTTGAGAATGTGCCATTTAGGATTTTTGATTTTCGTTCCAGAACTGGTTCTTAACAATGTGAATAAACAATTCCTGATAAACGATCAGAACTAGTGCTAAAGGAATTTTTCTGGTGTTGAGATAATACTTCTCATTCAAGATTTTATTTTGATGTTATGAAATCATCATTCATATTTCCAACAAGTGTCTTTTCGTGTAAGAGCTGATCGATATACTGTTTATTCGAGAAATGTTGAAAGACGGAGGTCTCTGCGTGCCTTGGGGGAGCAGAGCAGATAAATAATCCTCAGCGTATAATAGAAACCGTCCCTCACGACCGAAAACAATAATTCTCTCAATTTATCGAAGTCGACTTTATGTGGAGGTCGCAATTTTTTCGTGCCGTCCGGAAATCGAAGATTATTTCTTATTCGACGACCTCCGGACGCCCCAATGACGTTGGACACTTCGTAGTAGCAGTGGCTGCTCGTGCAACTTTACGAAAAATAACTGACGACATTTATAAAGTTTTTGTTCATAGTTATCGTCATATTTTTACCATATTTTTGATGGCCTAATAACAACGATCACTTATACGTACGACAAAAAAATACAGCAATGCTGTAGTTTTTTTTTGATAATGATGTATAAAATTCTGATAATTGAGTTTCTATTTCCATTTTGAAGAGAATTCTTACAGTAACATCAATAAGAATACGGTGTGAATGAGATGTATCAAGAACCTCATATTGCGATTTTCAACTGTGCAAACACCATGTAATTATAAACATCTCAGTCACACGTGTTCTCTCGCGAATCGCGATTCTAGTGAATTTCATTGGTCAGAGGCTGTTTCCCGTTGAATGTTGCCAAGTCGCAAATTTGTATTCTATTCTGAATACTTTTTCGGGAAATAAAACCGATAAAACTAACGAAAATTAGCTATTAGATGTAATTCTTGAGGAGGCTCAGTCTTCATTGCCTCCTCTGAGGAGCCGCCACTGCGTGGCAGTTCGTGAAAACCAATAATATCGCAACCATTGTAAAAAAAAGGAAGGAAGAAGGAAAGCCAGTTCATCAGATATTTGTTAACTACCAATTGAATAAGGGATATATAGATAAAAACCAAAAACAACACGAATTGCGCTGGTTCTTGACAAAATTTACGAACATTTTTAAAATCAGAAACAGAAGCTCCTGGTACGTTTGTTCTTCAAATTCGATGACATTTTCAACATGGAATTGAAAAAAAAAATATATGCAATTTTTATTCGTTCTGCTCGATTGACATTGACAGAAATTGATGAATACATTTAAATAAAGAACGAAAATTTTTGAAATGATTTTTTTGGTTCTTGCTTCCTGTGATTTTCCTCTTTCTCATTCAGGTCATCCTTATTTTAAGGTTGCAGTTTAGCTTGTGAGTGGGCGGGAAGCAAATCCTTAAGTGGGAAATTTTCGATTTTTCTTCGAAATTTTGGCCATCGGTATAGCTTTGTCAATTGAAAAAATATAGGCCATCGAAAACAAGAATCCGGATGAAAATCAACAACTCAATCTCGGACTTTTTCAAATTCTTCTATCATCTTTCCCTCCTCCGTAATCGATTTTCTCATTACATATTTCGTTTATATCTTTATCGAGGCAAAAATTGACTTTCGACTTCGATGAAATGTTGCATTTACCTAGTAGGCTTTGCCTGGACACGCTCTTGAGTACCCTGTGTATGCTGTCGGTGCTGGTCCTTCGTGAAGGGGCAGTGGGAGCGGCACTCTGCACTGGTGACGTCAGATTGAGGTGGGTACCGCTGCTGCTCAGTCGTTCCCCCACCATGCATCCGCCTGATGTGATGATTCCTGGAATGAAAAATGAATATCAATAATAATCTAGGTGTTTTTCGGATACTCTGATATGATCTGAAATCTGATTGTAAGAGTCTACTCAGCTTTCTAATGAAAAATAAATACAAAAAGCTCAAAGTCATTTCCACATAATGTTCATAAAATGAACAACAATGGTAGATTTCGGGAGAAAAACAACTACTTCCCTGGGTAATTCCACGCAGAACATTGTTTGTGGTTACTCCGTAGTTTCTAATGAAAGTTATTCAGAAGAAAAATGAGTTTTTGTGAACTTTACATCTAACTGGTTGAATATCATGTTGGTGCATCTCCTTCGCTAATCCTGAGAACCAAAGTGCAGAGCGTGCTCCACCTCATACCATACTTGATTCAATATGATTATCCTTTGTTCATTCTAGACGGATCTCGACCCCTTTTGGATGGTTAAATTCCATTTCATGGAAAAGTATTAATATTGTCCCCATCTCGACGTAAAAGGAAGAAAACGCGCTCTCTTTAATGCCAAATTCGGCTCATCGTACACGAGAGTATTTCTCATCAAGAAAGCCTGGGTATTTCAATATCGTCCGATGGAGAATCCATATTTTATGGAAAAAATATCGTTACGGAGAAATTAAAAAACTAACAGGCGTCCGGGGAAACTTTCCCTATTGCTTTCATCATTATGGATAGAGAAATCTTCTAGATAGTAATTGTAGCCTGTAGTCAGGAACAAGAGCATCAAACAGAAAATTACCGACGAATTTTCCGATAGAGTCGCCAGATACTGTTCGTCGTTGAACGTCGGAACTTTTCCTGGAAAATAAACTGCTCGCTTTGATCACGCGACAGAAAGTTCTGCTTCTTCTTTTTGAACTACTGGCTAATCGCTCCCGGCATCTATCAATTATCAACCCACGCTGTACGTTTGTACGATCTTTCGAGGTTTGTCCGATCGGTTTAGTTTCGACAGTTTCACTTTCTGTTTTACTGCGATTTATATGTAGGCGAAAATGTTCGACGAATGATTTTAGGACTAGGAGGACAAGTCCCTTGACTCTGGTGTTTGGATGATCCAACCCTTACCGGTCATCCATCAATCAATCAAGAATCGAGGAGCTGTGCGTTATGTGGTGACCTTTCAACTTCCACCCCGTCACACGGATATTGAGGCCAAGCTGATATCAGAAATCATTCTTGTTCAGCGAGGTGTCCAGTTTTGTTTGTATGCGAACGTGTACCGTGAGAGTTGCATTGTAAGCTTTGTTGATGTGTTGCTGCGTTGTTTACAGAGCAAACAAAACGAATGACGCGATTCATTCGACTATAGATCTCCACACGTAGGCTGATTGAATCGTATAAACAAACGTATATATCCTGGCATATCCCACTTCTGAAAACTGAATATATCGTCATCAGAACATACTATACATAAGGTTTCTCAAGGCTGGAAGGATACAACTTCCTGGAACTATTCGCAATCAATCAGCTTTCCCACGGGCAAGAAATAACGCATTGCACCTCATTCCGCGAACATAACCTCAAATATTTCAAGGTATATTGTGGAGATCGATCATCTTCCAGGAATTATGTTTGTATACAAAACCCTTCGGAAGTGATTGCCTTAGTGATCGATTATCCTTTCTCGGGCTGTCATTTTTTATCCCATTATTGCACCAGCTTTTCGAGATATTGTCGGCATGGAATTTCAGGAAATTAATGTTTTTTTTTCTGTGACGGCAAAAAAGTTTGGCATTTCATCTCTGTTGGCAGGTTATAAAATGTCACTTTTCCCGGATATATATCACATATATATATACACTGTTTATGGCTTTTGTTGTGCTATAGTTCCGAAAAGTGAGTCAATAATACCGTCTCCGAGAAAAAACTGCAAGTCCTTCATCTTCCATTCCACCTCGCGGTTACTTACAAAACAACCACTAAGTTCGCAATTTTTCAAAATCGAATCACAAAATCAGACTGACAGATATTTGATTACTTGAAGAGAATGATCTTGTCACAGGAAAAAAATAGTGTTTTATAAATATTAGATTCTAGCTCACGGACCTGGAGCTAAAATCTAATACTTTTTCCCTTGTATAATACATGACGATTGTGCTTCACATTACAATACCAATTGAATCAGCTCTAATAATTTCAACCGGACATTATTCTTTTTATTGTTTTTTTCACTATTTGGAAAGCTGTAGTCGGTTGAATCATGGGAAATAATTTGTTTTTGACGCTGAATGTTTTTGAATTGCATTTTACTTTGAGTTGCTTTGCAAATTTCAACTAATTAACTGTCTAACAATGAAACTAATTAGTATATCTTTTTTCTAGTGCTTCTCATCCATGTCTTGTACCCTCGTTCACTTTTGTTTATGTTTTTTACAACTCATTTTCCTATTGTGGTTTCCGAGGTCTTTGTTGGCGAAAGTCTGTTACATTCTTTTAACTTGTGACTCAGTTGAGTTCGCTCGTATTAGCGTCGAGATTGCCTCGGAAAAAACCTTTTATTCTAAAAGGTTTGGTACATGAAAACGTTGGTTTTATGCAAAACTGGAAGATAATGCATTGAATTTTCTGAGTTTGTGCTGTAAACTTCCGTGGAGGTCAAGGTCGGGTTTTTATCGTGCTTTGCGAGGTACTATTGATTTCTGGAAATGTTTTGATAATCAATCCTTGTCGAATAGAGAATGAACACCTTATTGGAGTCAACAACTTCTACATAGATATCAGTATAACCTCTGGTATAGGTTATACCGGGTAACATTTCTTAGTCTGTATAACATGCTCGTTTTGGGGAAGATCATACCCAAACCAATGTCGTTGCAAAAATCGCCTTCATTGATAATATTTTCAGTAAGCTAGAATCTCTATTTCAAAGTTCTTCATTATTGTTTTATTCTAATCCGACAAATTTTTCGTATTCCTGTCAAGTTTTTAATACAAAATTTCTCATGGTGAACCATTTCGAGTATTTACACAAATAAGGGAAGTAGTATGCATGAAGAAAAAACTGTCGTGTATGCAATGATAAAATCCTAAATTAATTGATGTCATTTGAAATGGAAATGATGGCTTGTGAACTGAGAATAAGAAGATAAGAACAGCTTATTTACTTTCATATCATAACTCACTACATTATCTTCATTCCTGGAATAATTGTGAATTATCCTATACAGGGTAAATCTGAAACTGAGGTTTTTTATTTAACAGGGTATATATCTTGCCAAAATAAGTTGTTTGGCCAAAAATGGTTTGTGTTAAAATTGTAAGATAACGGTGGTACAGGCATTTTGAGGTTTTGTACATTGAAAATCTAATTTTAGTTTTATTAGAGAAAATATAATAAAAATATCACTTCAAAACGAAAATCAATAGGATGGAAATGTAAAAAGAGGTTTGATTAATTCTTTTTGATGAACTAGTGCTATTGACAGGCAGACAAATGTCTGGTCAATAAACATACAATATTACATTATACCTCTCGCCTATACTAAGTTTTCATTTAGATCATCAATGCCTGATCATCAATCTGATTTTAATATTCTATATTGTCATAATTGTCAACGCCTGTTGTTCCACCATGAAGAAAATATTCGGAATGATTTTGGGCAATAGTATAACCAATCAAAATAAAGCCATTCGATTGGTTAGAGAATATGAATCTGAAATCTTCATATATGTATCGTAAACCGCTATGTTTAAACATCTTGGACACCAGGTATTCAATAGCTCCGATTTCAAAACTTTAGAGTCTGGCAATAATATTCTATGAACGGTTTCCTGCAGGCAAGCCTACACTGTTATTTTTGTTGATCATCTCTCTCCTGCTCCCAATTTTCATTAGTTATCATATCTGTGAAGTTATCTGAATTGAACTACCTCTTTCCATACCTGCTTGCCAGATAGCTATGAACAGAAATCAGTAGGTAAACCACCCAAGGCATCTTCTCTATGTTGATCTGTTGGGACTCAAGTTGTTTGGTTATCATAAGATTGAAAGTGATGAAAACAAAAATTGATTAAAATTATTCGATTAAAATTAGCCGTGCACAATTTTGGATAGGCAAGTTTTCATAGGCGTGTTCATACATCGAAAATACTCTATAAAAAAAAGGTCTCATCTGCTTATCAGATGGGTGAAGGTCGACTTCCCACGATCTCCTCTACTATCTGTGATTTACCAAGAATCAATATCATTACTTTCTCGCCTGCGAGAGAGCTTCAAGTTCCTCCAAACGCCGTATAGCTTTAGCCCTAGTGATACGGGTTGTTTTTAATGTTTGCGAGGGCGAATCCCAGGACAGGAATACGTCGACCTTTTGCATTTCTCCCGTGTCGCACATGTGTCGCGAATCCTCGAAAGGTTTTGTGTTGTCCTGGCCTAATCCCCGACGAATTCCTCCACTTTGTGCGGTTCCTTTTCATCCGGCATTGCCTTATTTCCGGGACTCGGCGGCAGAATGAATCGGAATTATTGTTAACTGTTCGAATTGTTGTTGTCCCGAGATCGGTTCGGTTCCTATCAAGAAAGGTTGTTCCTCAAAGGGCCTCCTTTTACTTTCTTTTGAACGTGTTCGGTGTAGGAGGCTTTTGTTCGGGGAGATGAGGTTGGGATAATAGAGAGATTTCTTTCCTTTTTTGAAGGACCGAGATTATTGTAGTCATCAGCGATGCCATCAGGGTACGTCATGAGGATGTATCGTGTAACGATGTATTCTTTAGGAAAAACCTCAGGGTATTATAATATCAACTGTGAATAGAAAATAATGGCATTTTTGTTGATACCAGAATCTGCATTCATTGCACTTTGACGATTGAGAAAGATGCAATATTAAATCGAAGACTAATTAAGCGCTTTGAAATACGTTGAATGATCACATAGGAAAATCATGTTTGATTCATCGCGAAAGCTGCTTCACAAAAACTCGGTTTTTTATTCCGTGCGGAAATCTACTTTACTCTTCTCATGATCTACAAAGCACAGATACGGCCAGTTTTGTAAT